TTTACCTTATAAACACGCTGAAATGAGTTTGTACACCCCTTTAGAAAAACACTGTATGTACTTCTAACCTCGACCATGCGGTCAAAATCACACTGTATCTGAAAACCATGTCATTTTACTGTGGATGTTAAACACAAAACAAATAGATTCCTAACCATTCAGGATGTCAAAAATTTGAATCACAAGATCTTTACACATTGAAGATCCCATCCTCGATATGTCCAGGATATACGTTCCGATAAATCTCAACTATAATGTGGAGATTTATCGGAACGTATACCCTGGACAGTTGGAGGATGTGAAGATCCATGACAGCACAATATTTCGGAAATTGATACCAATCTGACGCAAAAACGTGAAAGAACATGCTAACGCCTGTTTGCTTGTTAGCCAAACATGTCTCACAGTCCCAGTCAGAATAATTTCCTTTACGCCAGCCCCTACCGTTATGTTATAGACCTTAAAGAAGCAAGTCTAGATTTTTCACAACTTCACTAGGGCTTTTCAGCATTAATTGAGTTCGTTTCTATTTGAATTATATATTTTAAGACACTAAGTGTCTTATGTTAACCCTATGGCATTAGTGACCCTATAATTAGAATTACCCTACCCTGCCAAATCTTAGCACGGAGACCGTTCTCATAACAGCAACGCCTAGATTGCCATTCAGATGACTATTGGGGTATTCGAAAAGTCTTAAGTGAAGAATAACCAGAGATTTGGTCACTCAAAGGTACTGAGCGTTCTTGCCACAGAGTAAAGAGGGGGCGGTAAGCGTTCCACCTGGTAGCCGGTGGTCAGCCCCACCCCTGTAATTTATTACCCCTGGTGTGAGGAAGGGGATGTGTTATCTCGAGGGTGCTGATAGTACCTAAAACCGTGGTGGTTCCCAAACGTAACAAAGCTGTGTTTACAGGGGAGTCGACACACAAGTAGCTAAAGCTGATTAAAATAGTTAGTGGCCATGGCTTGAACAGTATTCAGCAATACGTCGACAGGTACACTAACATCGGGTCTGACATACTGCACATGTGTACTAGGTTCGAATTTAGTATTCCATTTGACGAGGACAACTTCAACGCAAAGCTCAAAAGCACAAAATGCTTCTCTATAAAATGGATATGATGTTCCTAAGGTCAATATTATACCTGTTGTCAAATATACAACCAAATACCTGCTAAACTATCTTATCGCTAAACTATATTAGCATTAAGACACTGTTACCAGACCGGGACGACTGTCGTAACAATAGCTTTTTATAAAGCTATTTTATTAAAGACTACATTTTTACAAAATACGAAATAAAATCCAAATGGAGCCCACAACAGAGCTTAATTTCTGGCTGAAGTAGTCTAGACATGCTCAACAGATTTGAATTGGACTCATATTTTAATATATTTTCTTGCATCTGTAGTATGGGAGTTACGATCACCTCAGCACTACGATCGCTTGGAACAGTCCCAGATTGGCATATACTACTAGCACTACACTACCTTTGTTTACTGGTGATGCAACACGACAGAAACGATTGCCCCGAGGGTAATTTGTTAACAAAAGGATACACATCTTTTTGAACGAAACGCAATGTTTTCAAAAGCATTAATTCAATTAGGTAGGTAACTTGGTTGATCCAAGCCCCGGGTTCCCCTCTCCAATCCTTTATGTGCCCTGTATTGTGTTGACCACAAGCTCACATCCGCGTGTTGGTTCACAGACGCCTGACAAGCGAGTTTTAATGATACCACTGTTTGGCGACAAACACGGAACCACGTGGCATGCAGCATTTAGCAACACAAACCACAAAAAAACTACACCAGTTCAATCCCCAAACGTCTCCGTGTTGGCAAAAACTACCTTGAGGTAAAACGTGGAAACCTTCGGGATGTGCTGTGGTGAACGCTTTGCTAAGGGTTGGATTCAACGACCGAGAAATTATGCATGGCTTCTTTTCCGTCCCCGCGGTTTATTACACCAAGGGTTTGGTTGAAGAGATCCTTTTATGCTTTTTGTTAACAGGGGATCGTGTTTACATATCTATTTTCACTAGAATTTAAAATTTGAATTAGGACGCGTTGGAATGTCAGCGTGTGTAGCGACCCTTGTTTGTGAGAATACCGAGAAATATAGAGCAAGAGTCGTTATTATTCTAGGCCTCATTCCACAACCAGATTTCAACGTAACGTCGACCGTAACTCCCTACTATACGTCGTAACGCTCTGATGGCTTTGTGCATGGAGGCCCGAGGCCAGAGGCCAACATGTCTGAAAAGGACGCTATTTGAGTGTCACCTAAGGATTACACCAAGGGTACACTGTATAGAGATACTTGAGCAGAAGCTATGGCGACCCCTTTGACTTCCGGTATCCATTGAATAAAAACTCATTTTATTTCGTTTTCTCCCAGTCACACCTTTATACTCAACTATCCTCCCACCCTACCCCTATCATGCTGACCCATACTACCCTCCCACCCCCCAACACACCCCTATCATGATCACTTTCATTCCTGGACCCCTGGCTCTCGCTATTATGATAATAATAACGTCCCTACCACGTCGTAGACCCCCTGCCCCCTTATTCCATTACCTGAGTCTCCCAAGTGACCCTTCGCGTTCTTGCAATGACCCCCGCGTCCGCCCCTCTCCCCAGACGGAAGGGGGAACAATGGGAGGACGCTGCTCACGTGGGGTCCCCCACACTGACCGCTCTAGACGAGAGCCAGACGAGTGAAACAGCACATGTGTTATCATTCCAAGCAGTACCCACGTTTTAGGAGAAGCCTCTCATTTTTTACAACCCTTGAGAACAGGATTCTGGACACATGTTCAGGAGGACCGACTCAGATTAGTTGCTAAGGGAGGAATTTCAATCAACTCTGAACCCAAATCGCTTTCAGAAAATGAAACATCTGATTTTTAAAGTCTCATCGAAAAAATGTACAAGCATGGTTCGTTTTTATTCAACACTGCACTTGTTTCTTATTAGCGTCCGTTGTCTTAGTGTGCAACATATTCTACATCGTATACACACTCATTATAGTACAATTCCAAATCGATACAATGTATGTAAACATTGACTTAGTATAGTCGCCATAGTAACTTCCCTTGGTAACGTTAGTGACGTTATGAAGGGTCAAGGTCACAAGAAACTGCACTGCCTTGACAGTATCAATATAAGTGAAGTATGTGTCGGAGAATGGGATGGATATAATGGAGGATGTTTACCTACTGACAGGTTATTTAAACAAAATGAAAAGACAGGTGACCTTCAAGACGAGCAGACGACTGCATGTGGTTACATAACGTTGACCAATCGGGCGGTCGCTCTGATGTGCAGATATTGTCGTGATAACGGTGGTCAATAATAGACTTGGTTGATATAGCTAATATCACACCTGTATCAACTGATTTCCTTGTCATAGTGATATCGGCTCAATCTACCTTTCCGTGTCCAGTAAAGTGGTAAGATTTCCACGTGGATAAGGTACCCTGCTGTCTTTTTAGATGCGGTCTGAAATTATTCACTCGCTCAGTCTACCCTACAACCCTGGATTACAGTTTTACAGAATTTCTTCGGGCTTAACGTTATATGCTAAAAACAAATGATACAGGAATGTCTATATATAGCAAAATAACATACATTCATGTTGGTCTAAACAATATATACAAGTTATGTTAAACCGAGCGCGTATGAAATAATTACCGATACAAAAACGAAACGTGACTCATGCAAGAATTATGTAGCTTCACATTCATGCAATAAAGCGTATCTTTCATTGCCCATTCTAGTCCACAATTATTGTTATTGCATACATAGTGGCAAAATGTTGACGTGGATTCGTCAGGTGGATATCGCCGACTAAGCAATGCAATGTTATGGTCGGCATCATCGACGACATCCCACGTCACGATAAGCCCCTGCTGGCGATGGAAGTCGGTCGTGCGGAACAATGCGCCAAATCGTCACGTCATTAGGCGTGCGTGAGTGTTTGTTGGGAGTAAACGACAATATGTTATTGAACATGAAATGAGGTGTTGTTGTTTCTGTTTTGGTACTGCAAGGCTTAAAGTGTTTTTGCTCGTATGTCCAACAAATAAGGTTCTAAATTAAGCTTGCATGGGAAATTGAAATGTACATGAATGTAATAATGTAATACATTGTAATAACATATAAAAATATTAATTAATAAACACACACACATTAGTATCCATCACACTAATCTATCATCGCCATCATCATCATCATCATCATCATCATTTTGATCATTAATATTAACAATCGGCGCAAACATTATGCCCAACCTTCCGTAAGTGCATTGAAACATTACAGCATTTACGATGAACGAATGGTCGGATATTAATATACAGCGATCGTGCTTTGTGTTGCGACAGATTGAACATTCTTAACCCGACTCTGTACGGAATGAGGAAATAAACAAAGTGAGCTTTAGGAACAGGTGAGTCAATAGCACTGGAGTGAGAGAACGCGTGGTGTAATATTTGCACGCCGCAATGGACATGAAGCTTTCGGCCACTGTAGGACGTACTGATACGGAGAAATCCACCTGACGTATGCATGGTTTTACCCACCCCCATCCCACCCCAGACTTTAAGGGGGTTTCACCTTACTCTTGACGTATATGTGGCTGATGTTTGGGATTTGACCTTCCTCTTGACGTATGTGTGGCTGGCTTCTGTTTGGGATTTGACCTTCCTCTTGACGTATGTGTGGCTGGCGATTGAGGGATTTCACCTTACCCCTTAAATTACGTGACATGGAGTTGGGTAGGTTTGTGTGTATGGGGGGAATTCCATCTTACCGTGGCGTACGTGTGGCTGATGTTTCGGAAATCTGTACGTACGCGTGCGTGTTTGTGATCATGCACGTGTTCATTATTACCACTCAAGACATTGTAAAACCAACCGACTTGTCTACATCGGTAGTTGAAGTATGTACATGTAAGAGACACAACAAAACATGCACAGAAAAGGTTTCACCTACCTCTGGGCTCCAGAGAGAAGACGCCGTCACGTTGGGAACGGCTTTGGTTTTGCTGCGCCATCGTTTGGGGAGGATCTTTCGTCGGCCTGGTGACGGCGACTTGGCCTTGAGCATACCGGGGGAGGCTGTAGAAGGGGATGGGGAGCAATTAGACGCTGCACTAGAGTAAGGGGAATTACGGAACCCAAAGTCATCACCATCTTCATCATCACTATAACAACTAACATTTTCTGCCCCATCAGCTTGCAGATCGGGAAGGGACCTGCTTCGTTTCCGTCGCACCTTCCCCTCTTCCCCACCCTCAGTCTCTACGCCCTTAGGGGCACGCGCGAGTCCGAACGTTGCCGCGACTTTCCTTAGCGCGTTTGTCTTTTTACGCTGTAGCGTTTCCACATTAGTGTCATTTTCCAAAGATTGGACCCTTGAAACCATCGGGGGTCGAGTCTGGGTCAGCATGTGATTTGCCCGTGGGTTTGGGTACAATTCACGGTTTATATATCCAGGGTTATAGCTATGTCTATGACGGTTTGGCTGCATTGTCTGATATCCCCGTGGGAAGGGGGTTCCATTGGCCCGTGGGGTCGTATTCCCACTTCCCCGTGGGGTGGTAGGTGCACTACCGCGGGGGTTGTAGTTATAGTCCAGGGTCACATACTCTTCCTCTCCGTCCGAAATTGATGCCCCTCTGTCCCCACCCCGGGGGTCCGACACCCAGAGAGGCACCCCCGTATCTTCCCGTGCCCTCAGATCTGTCACCGACTGAGACACCATGCGACAGTTTCCCCGGGGGTCGTGATCAGAGCCATTTCCAATCAAAAGACTAAGTTTCACAGCACTCGTGTTCCAAGGATCAACATGCATCTTTGACGGAGAGTAAACCATCCTTTCATATGCACTAGTTTCCGTATGTCCGTAGCGTTGCTGAAGACGCGACGAAGTGTCGCAATGGTTATATCCATTAGGAATATGAAGTCGTGGACGATTGGACATCGCTAGTCCTGGTACAACCACCATACCGTGGGGTAAGAAGTCCGATCGCTCCTTTGAACAACCAAAACTTGCCGAGATCACAGGACAGTGCACGGGGCCATCAACTGTCATAATACATCGTATAACACATGTGCTATAACACCGGTATACACCAGCACATACTCCACTAGAAAACACTCAACACTACAGTCGTCCACTCGGGTAGTAAAACCGCTAGTATTTCACTCAAACTCGGTCAGTCTCCCAACAGACTAGAGTGTGCAGAAGTGTAGAGTCCCATTTCAATTGTGAACCACCACACTGGCGATCTACTACAGCGTGAGGGGGCGGAGCTTGTTAGATTACTTCGCCGCCGTACGCTTTCTGATTGGCTTGTCAGCGCACGTAAAGAATGTCAATCATTCGCGTCTCTCTCAAAGTAAATACCAACTTGCTCTCTCCTGCTGGCTACGTATTAGGTATATTTAGTTAAGGGATTAAAGAGGTTTACGAAAAAGCTAAGAATCTATTACTTGGGTCGGAGGCTGGTAAGATCTGGCGTCAAAACAGCAAATTAATAGTTATTGATTCATTTGCTGGTTAAGTCCAGCTTAACCGTACTAAACTCGCCACTGGGCTGAGCTATATCCATGGTTAACAGATAAACAAACTTTAGTAAGACAATAAATTCCTACATTTAAGAACAGGTGGTTAACAAAGCTTGGACAATAGCAGATCATATTACACGGCGAAGGAATTCGCCGATAGTGGGTGTGGGACAACTGAGTGGCACTAACATCACGCTGACATCCGCCAGTAGAACATGTTACGACGAAATACACTGAAAAGTATCACATACGCTGAAATATTTACATATAATAGTCATAAAGCCCAGTATAGCAGCGTTAAGTCGTACATGGTCTATATTACCGAGGTGTAAATAGCGCCTAATCCCCCATGGGATACGCTGGTCTTAGGACGTCCAGTTCACTGGGTCGGGTCTTGGTTAGTGTAGAAATAAATACGCTTCCTTATCTGGCAGGGTTTACGAGTGAGTAAACGTAAAAATATGGTTTGAAATATAAGCTGGATTTTATTTTTGTGAACTCTTGATTTCAACAAAAACATGGAGAGGATAAAATAGATTCGCAAGAACAGCTGGCGTTCATCTTTTAGAATTGAAATGTGTATAGCAGAAATGTTACTCTCACTGATACGCAAGTGATAAAGCAATGGATTTTTATGATGATACCTCTCTTCCAAATAAAATATATTGCCAGAGACAGGATCGATGTGTGGGTGTATAAAAGCCCATATCGTGCTTATAAAGCAATAATAAACCTTTTTATTATCTTTCAAAAATAAAATAATTAAAATATTGTCATCACCCAAGTGGCACCTACAGATGGTATTCTGGGAAGGGTAGTTCACATGTGTTATCACAGACACTTAATGCTCGGACTGCATGCTAATCAGTCACTTTAATTTTAATTACAAGTCCTAATCAATAATTAGCTACTAATTAGGAGCGTTAATCGCTCTCGCACCCTCGGTCTCAGGTGGAATCCGCTTTCACTTAACACTTTTTATAAATTTAAACAATGATTAAATCGCCCTCATATATGGGGCTAATTGCCACTAATCTAACTTCAAATAGATAATTAAGGGTCATGTTTTTATAACACAGTGCATGTGTGTTTCAGTTCAGGAGTTTATACCTTCAAACAGACCTTAATTCCTGCACGCGCGTAGATGAAATTAACGTTTAAGTACATGTACTTATGATAAGGTTGAATGAAATTAAATACTTCCCAGGGAGATACGCGTCAAATCTAATGAAATAAAATTTTAAAAAAGATATGAAAAATGATTTCAAAATGTCTCCCTAGAATGATGAAACGAGGAATTAAAACTGAGGTTACGAATGTTTAGAAATATGGTTGGACCAACCTAATCAACGACATTTGTCGCCCATTATAATCAAGAACCACGAAACAGGCTGGTAGGCCTACTGGGCACTGACGCGGGTAACCAAACGGTTTGCAGTTGTCCTTCGGTGACAGCGGAAGTATTTGGAAACGTTGGCATTTTATACATCATTACTATATTGAAATATCAGTATATTTAACCAACTTATGTCGGAGGCCCAGGTGAGATGGCAGATTATGTCCACCCCCACCGTCAAGGGGAGATAACCCGTGGTATCGCAGTCATTTCAAAACGTTCGTAAGAAGCAAGTGGCCATTGTTTCATTACGCATGAACGGAAATATCGATTTCTACTTACCTTACTCATATGTGTTCGTGAACTGATTTTACCCATGCGTATGTATTGGACACAACCTTTAAATTACTGGTCAATCTATAAACAAATCTTACAGGGCTACCCTGTATTTTATTTTATGGAGACTGCTCATTGGTGTAGTGGATAAGCGTCCGGTCGGAGTACGTAAAATCGTGGATTCGATCCCTGGCCGCGTAAATACATTTTTTTTAAAAATGGTACTTATTATTTCCCTGTCTGGGGACAGGACTGGTTGGCTCGTAGACAATATCCTTTTCTGAGCGGGGTAACATAACAACGTATGTTATGGATTTACAACTTCTTTAATATTTACAACACGACGTTTCTGGGCTACTTCTTGCCCCTTCATCAGATGAATGATAGAATATGATAATGAGCAAAATATATAGAATGTACAATGCCCATCAGGCATCTGAGCGGGGTATCGATATAAACTAAGACACCAGTGGGTTAGAACCAGCAGCTACACATGTCACTATACAAACCCTCATGTGATGTTTCAGTGTTCAAATATAGTAGTTACACAATAAAATATAAACACACACACAAGAAAATACTCCCCTATCAGAAAATTTCTAATGGTTTGAAATCGCAACGTTTTGGAAGACAAGTGATGTCTTTAGCAACACATGTATTCTCGTTAGGCATGTCACTGAAAGAAACGTAATGATAATCACCATCATCAATCAAATACGTCATATTTCACAATGAGTTCTGTATATATTCTCTTACTTATATTCCAACAGTAGAAATACGATATCAAACAGGCCGCATCTAAACTGCCAAGCAAGAGAAAATATAGAGCTGAAAACTTGATTAAACAAAACGTTAGCAAGAAACAAAGTCAAAGATAGTCTTCGAACACAACCGCCTTCTGGTTAAAAAAAAACCCCAAACAAACCCAAAACTTCAAAATGCCCCAAACAACTATGAATCGTTATATCAGTCAAATAATCCCCATTGAATAACCATTTCCTTCTTGTTTCATTTCCGACAACATGGGTCTATTCGTTCTTGTGCCAGGAATTGGTTTTGTCTAGACGTCAATGCACCACAATCTTCAGTCGTGCAAAACATAAAATGTCATCATTATGCATTTCGTGTCGAAACTAGACTTATGCCTCAATTATTGTTAACAAACATGAATTTATATTATACAGTTGACTAAACTAAACATGATTTAAGCGTTAAATGTTATGAATGCCATTTCAACATGTGGGTCCACAGTTGTATATATCTATTTATGAGGTACGTAAACACGACAAACACGTGTCATGTTACTGGCAAGTTGCCAACAGCTGATCCCGAGTCCACAGTTGCACCATATATCAAATTGCAAGGGACATCACAATGGCTGGCACTGATATTACATGGAGACGCTACATAGAGCAATAGAACATCTGGTTGATCGATGTAGGGTTAATTGTATTCACTTCATTCGGAAGATATTTGTGTATTTTTTATCATCAACTTAGGTCTAAATGACGGGGTCGTGGGCAGGTCAGTAGACTTTTTTCAACAAGCAAGGCAGATGTAAATGGCAGTGAACGACATTAATGATATGTTCAATATAACATATTGAGTTTAACAGTCATATTCATGGGAAACATATATGACTCCATTGTGATGTAACGCCAACGCAACGTTGTTGATTTGCTTGTTTGTTGTTTAACGCCGCACTCAGCAATTTTACAGCTATATGAAGGACGTCTGTAATTAATCGAATCTGGACCAGAAAATCCAGTGATCAACACCATGAGCATCGATGACATGTATATATTTATGCTTTATCACCCCATTGTCTATCTATTTAACGTATATTTATTTCATACAGTATTTTAATAATTATTCTTTGATGTACGTTTGATGCTTTATATCTCGTCTCTCATAACTCCATAGGGGTGGCATATGTACTTTTATTTATTGTTTATAAATTGAACGTAATGTTTTATATGTATATATGGTGAGACGTTAATAAACAACCTATCTGTCTGTGTCAATCAAGTCAGCGAGCCTGACCACCCAAACCTGTTAGTCGCCTCTTACGACAAGCATGGGTTGCTGAAGACCAATGCTAACGGGCCCAGCGTTCTTGAACGAACGTCTTACAATCTATCAATTTGATTACTTCTGAGCTCTTCGAGGATGCCTGTGGACCCTTGCAATGTGTCAGTAGCATTTGATGACTTAATAAACGATATGCATATGTGCATCCAAATTACGTCTACGTGCACTTTAGTAATCTACATGAACATGACATTTACGTTCAATTTTTTTTAGGGTGTGATGGCATTTCTGTCTCAAATGGTTCAAACTGTGTGGCAATTAAAACTTGTTTTCTCAACTAATTAAGCTATTTTCTATTTATTTCACGCCACTGAGTTGACAAAGTCACTTAAAAAAATCATCCGCCAAACATCACACATGCAGTTGTCTATTTCAGCGCTGTCACTCAAAGACAATAGCTGGATTAACACTTTCCCTGCTAAGTCCTCGAGCAGGCGCCGGCGGGTCTAGCTATCGACACTTGTTGCTAATTGTCACGCTCTGCAAGTGTTGGTGTCAAGCGTCAGACTACCGTACACAGTAGCTGCATTGTTTTGGGTTACTTATCAAGATGGTGTAACAAATACACCTTCAGGTTGTCCGTAGCGGCGGAGAAATTGGACACTCTCTGTCTCTTGTTGACATTAATGGCAAATTGTTCCTGTTTATTTTGGATTTGTGTTCACTCTGTGCAATCACTCTACATGTACCGATTCTAATGTGGCTTCATTAAGTGGCATTTTAGAGTGAATAAGTGAGTATGGTTTTACGCCACTTTCATCAATATCACGGCGGGGGACACCAGACTTGGCCTTCAAACATTGTACCCATCTGGAGAATCGAACCAGGGTCTTCGGCGTGACGAGCGATCGCTTTTACCACTAGGCTACCCCACCGCCCCGGCATTTCAGAAGTTGGGAAGTACAATACAGACAAACTTTATGGATAACAACTTCTTTATTTCATGAGAGCGATGCTTCGATACAGACTCTTGAACCGTTGTGTTCACTCGAAGCAATCACTTCCTGCTTGACGACGGTACGAGAATCTGTATGGAAACGTCGCACTCACGAAATAAAGAGATTCTAATGTGGATTGGTTTCCCATTCGCGATTGAGTATCATGGAGCTGTCAGCCGGTTGGCTGGTCCTTGCCCGTGATATAACTGGAATATTGCATAACTGTGAAGAAAACAACCCACACCTCAGTATGACCTTAAATATATAAAACCTGTGATATACATCACAAGCATGTTATATAAATATACAAAACATACACATTTATGGATATATACTACTTCTGGTTTGTTGCTTATGGGAAAGTTTCTACCTTGATTCTGCCAAAGCTAAAGTATCCTTTCTTAGTGCCCCAAAACCTTTAAAATATCATCAAACTGTCACATTACATAAGCGGTAACAAAAACATTTTGCAGAGGTGTTTAATGTAAATTAAAGCTTGTTTAACCTTGTATAACCTACAAACATATTAGCGTGAGTCAAAAGATACATATTCAAACATTGTTAAAAAACCAGACGTGTAAAGTAATACTCATTTTTATTGGTATCGATATTTGTGTTTTGAAAGTTGAAATTCGAAACAGAATTTTTAATCATATTGCTTTACCATATATGAAGTTATATTGCAATGATGTTTTGAAAAATAATGACAAAGCCATTGCACTGGTTCTTCTTTCTTGTTTGACTCAAGAGTTTCTCTGTCTTCTATCTTCCCAGATGTTTCCACCAAATAATTCCCACATTAAAATCTCATAAATCTATACTAAAAGAGCATCTCTCCACACCGCTGGGGCTCACTCGTCACACCCGACAAAGAAACTTGAAATCACGGAAGAGAAAGCACGGGACACAAATGCGTAGGCACGCGGCATTCCCCAGACTACACCGTGCTCTCGTGAATGGGATTTTTTCGCATCTATATTCCTACTCATGTTACACTTCAGTTTCAATAACCAACATTCATATTTAACAAAACCACGAGCGTGTCATTCTTGAGCGGACGCGTACTCGTCCACTGCGCATGCGTTAACGATTCTTCCTGTCGGATGATGAAATTGTTGAGGAGGAATAGTTATTAATTTCCTCCTAAGACCTACCTCGTGGTTACGCATCATCGAGAAATCGTTAAGGTAGACGGGCGTAGATTGAGTTTTGTTTCGACATAAACAGTTCCGTTACACGCCACTAGACAGCCATTAATCGTCAACTCGCGATCGTTGTCTCACCATTGTTCATGTAAACTTATGGGAATGAATTTGTACACGATAACCCAGAGATGAAACATTGACATATTTTCCCACATTCATTAATACTGAATCAATATCTACATTGCTCCCCGTGTTTATTGATACTGAGAGATACATATGGATTAAACATTGTCTATATATTTAGATACAACTAGTCCACAGGATACAGGGGATCGATAACAGTTCTATCGTGTTTGTTGTTTACGTCGCAATTGGCAATGTGGCTGCTGCATAACGCCAACCTGTAAACTAATCGACCAGACAAACCAGTGATTGATATTACGAAGGACGATCCATGTGACCTTTTTTGTGCATCCAATATGATAGTGTATGTGCTGGTCATTTAGAAAACTCTGTTTCTAACGAAGACGGGATTCGAACCCATGACCATACGTCGACCAGCGAATTGGGCGAGTGAGCCACCCTTGTCTCCTTGAAGACAAATCTATCCACAAAGGAGTAACAATAAACTGTAACGTTCATGTGTATAATGAACTTCGGATGTATCGAACTGTGAGGCCCTTTAAAGTTTCTTTAATACCCGGAGTTGACTTCTATTGCGAAATGTTTATATAGCTTCATTAAGCGGTTTATAGCTTTAACACGAGTAGCGAATTTCGAAAAACTCCTCGGTCACGCGACTTCATTCCATCCCGAGTGACTGAATATATGTTTGATATTATTTATGCTTGTGTTTGTTTGTGATTTTCCTGTTATCACCCGCTGACGCCGTTGTTTACAGCACTTGCGTCATGGGCTTATCACCTTGATAGGTGACATGTGTATTTTAGCGTGATGATAATATGTTGGATATACCATTCTCTATTCAATATACACTTTATTATAGTTTCTAAGATGATTTGCTAAAAGATCAAAGGCGCCGACAGTACATTATCAGGCGATAAAGTACACTTTTTGCATGACGTCAAACTGTGTTGACGTCACTAAGCCATTCTCGTCTGTCCCCTCGTTATCAAAAGGACTCTTGGTGAACAAAATACCCGACGTCACGAATCTCTGTTTGGACAATACTTTAAAAAAAAAATATAGACTTTTGCAATCGTATGTTGTTTTTATATGTTATGATTAACATATACTTAGAATTTGAACGAAATCGGTGAAGACTGAATATTTTAGAAAATTCGACCGCTACACTCATTACATAAAAAGACACTTGCGATGCTAAAACTTGATCGAAAACCGGACAGTCCGACTATTTCAACCTGCGGTTCAATCAAACCTTACGTTTTTCCCAAAACATTGTGTTGAGCTTGTAGGTAATTCTTTTACCTTTCTGCTCATCGTACTCAATTTGTCTAACTGCATTTCGTATTTGATCACCGACCCTCGCATTAGCACTACCCTCTGCTTTGAACAAACGTCTGGCCTCACTCCGGTAAACATCGACAGTTTTCCGCAGATTTTCTTAGTGACTTGGAAACAGAAAACGGCTCAGCCTGGTTCCCAGGGTCTGCTGCGCTAACGCTTCGACACATGGATCTGGACGACCAGACAGATTAAATATATATAGTTGGCATCCTTATTTTGGCAAATATAATGACGAAAATATCGCCGTTTCTGTCCCGTATCTTACATCGTTACAGGGTAGGTTTAGCGGATATATGTTTAGATCGCCTGGTGAAATAACTAGGGAAAGCGTTTAGATCCCCATGAATGATGTTAATGACATCATATTTAGCCTCTGTCTTTTTGTTAACACGAAAAGCCATTTATTATCTATTTTTTTCTAAGCATAATAATAAAGTTCAATCCATTGTTTTTTAATTGTGGGTGTTGACATTCAGTGACATACTACAGAAAAATATATGACTTATCTTGATTCACTTTGGCACATATCATTTGTAAAATTGTAAAAAAATTAAACAGGTCCATCCATGTACATACTTTTTTTTCACAAAATGTTGTCACATTAAATATCTGAATCGGTTTGCAAAACAACATGAAAAAATTATACCAATATTATTCAAAAATGTTTATCAATACAATAAACATGGTGATTCAAGTGATCTGTACACAAAATACATACAAATATACTGCTCAATATAATGAATTTGACACATTATTTTACTAAACTGAATATACAGATATACACAGTATGATCAGTAGGTTAATACATTACCATAAAAAAAACATACATTGCCATAAAAGTACATATGTTTGAAGATGAACTTTTAAAGACTAATGTACATTCCACTATTTGTGATTTTTACTAATGAAACCTGTCCTGAGTACCGTAGTTTTCTATTGCTTGAAGACAGCATCAGAGTATACATTTGCTATATACTAGTATTGATCATTTTAAGCATGATAACCTTGTGATATTTGAATAGATCCGATGCATGTCAATAATCATATACTTTGATATTCATCCTCGATAATCTCCAGGGTATACGTTCCGATAAATCTCCACTATACCCTGGATGCATCTACGGCTCGAGCCGATGATTTTATTACCTCCCTTGGTTGGCTTTTTATCCAATCAGGTGTCTACGCTGGGAAGTTGAGCGTACCAATCACAACTCACTTTCGCTTTTTAAATTATCTAACCGATTAAACTTGGCAACACAATAATATATTGTTGCAGAGGTACTCTGAAAGAGGTAGAAGGAGTTCTTGCATATATTTTTTTAAAGATTTCAGACCTGTCAATTTGTCTGTATGTTTTCCCCCAAATCTGAGTCGCACTGCGAACAAACTTTCGCGGCTGCGACCGCTATCTTTGTTGACACTGGCAAGCTCGGTTGTAACGGCGGCTTATCTGATTGGCTACTGTGAGAATGCGGAGCCAGCAAAGGGAGGTAATAAAATCATCGGCTCGAGCCGTAGATGCATCCAGGGTATAGTGGAGATTTATCGGAACGTATACCCTGGAGATTATCGAGGATGAGATATAGATGTTATATTGAAATGATATATGAAATGAATAAAAATATTTAATATATTCTTATTATTTCATTTTTTGAAAGCACATACATTCATAAAAATATATGGTTGAATTATGTGTTTCAAATGTATTAGATATATTTATTATTAATTGTGTAATGTGGTAACAACCATTTTCTAGTTACTATTACTGGGCGTTTAGTTTATTTCCAACATACAACAGGAGAAAATGGAACCAAATCATCGAATTATACGTCAACAAATTTGCTAAATTAAGATGCTAAATTTCTATATTCAATCAATGTGGTCGTTCAGATCCATGTTTTATGTGTACGATTTCGAGACAATAGCGAGCTGACACGAAATATCAACGTACATGTCGGTGTTGAAAATGGGGTCTGTGTTATTGTTTACATTACGCCCATGTATAACGATTTTCGTGTTTCGAAACTGCTTAATAACGTTTTCGTTCGCTAAAAGATTTACGGAAACTGTCGATGTTTACCGAAAAGAGACCAGACGTTTGTTCAAAGCAGAGGGTAGTGCTAATGCAAGAGTCGATGATCAAATATGAAATGCCGTTCTGTTGTGACGTCACTTGAATTGTTCGATGACGTAATTGCATTCGGTCAGTCAACCCCGTCAGAGGTTGGTTTTGAGTAAACTTACAGTCAAATTCCTTCCTTGTTTCCTTTTTCTTTTCAACACAAATTCCATGTATTTTAGCAATAATAATGGTAACGCTATTTTTGAGGGCATTATCATTTGCAGAAGCCCTGGGTCTTTTTCAACTTCCCTCCTTCGTCGGGCTGTTAATGGAAGACCTCGGGCTTCTGCAAATGATAATGCCCTCCAAAATAGCATTACCCTTATCACATCACTCATCTAACAACACTGGTGGAAACATTACGTTTGTGATTTTCGACAGATAAAATGTCTCAGCTCGACTCACAATAAAAACATCGACACGGCAGCATTCTCAATGTTTACAGTCCCACAATCGCAAGTCTAGTCAGCTCCATCTTGATTTAGGGTTCTAAACTTACGTTGTAGAAATGCGACGCTCATATTGCCGCATATAGTCTACGTTAATCACAGATGTAATTAAAATAAGTTAGAGAAGATATTTAACCCGAACATAAACCGTCATTAAACTCTTTATTATGTTCTTGTTTGTTTCTTTTTCTTTTCTGGTAGCGTGCGTCTAATGTAGGGGACAGACACGTCAATAGACTGACTGACTGAGTTTGGTTTTACGCCGCTTTTAGCAATATTCCAGCAATATCACCGGGGAGGGGGGCGCTTTATTTTCCACTTTGTTTGTATCTATAAAAAATAGACCCGTGAAGATCCGGGTTAGAATTGGTTTTCAGCAACCCATGCTTCTCGTAAGAGGCGACTAACGGGATCAGGTGGTCAGCCTCGCTGACTTGGTTGACACGGGTCATCGCATCCCTGTAGCGTAGATCGATGTTCATGTTGTTGATCACTGGCTTGTCTGGTCCAGACTCGATTATTTACAGACCACCACCATATAGCTGGAATATTGCTGAGAGCGGCGTAAAACTAACCTTACTCATTCACTCCCTCAACCTATGCTTGTCATATAAGACGATTAAGGGGGTTGACGACTCATGCTTGATACACATGCCATCGTATCCCAATTGCGTAGATAGATGTTCATAATATCAATCACTGGAATGTCTAGTCCAAATTCAGTTATTTATAGTCGGCGGTAATATATCTGGATTACTGATGAGTGCAGACAAAATCTTAAATCTACTATAGATATGCCCCACGTCAGTATGCTTATATTATACAACAAAACATGGTTTATAAATATAACAAAACATGGTTTATAAATATAACAAAACATTGGTTATTACATAACAAAAACGTAGTTTATAACATATAACAAAACGTGGTTTATAACATAACAAAACGTTGTTAATAACATAACAAAACGTGGTTTATAACATATATCAAAACATAGTTTATATCATATAACAGAACATGGTTTATAACATATCCACAAAGCCACCATATCAAAGAATCTTTGCATTCCTTTCGTACGACGCTACACATCACGTGACAGGATGTAGTGTTATCTTCTCAGGCTAACAGACAGCACCACGGAATAATACTTTACACTGTGGCGGTTCTTGTGACCGGGCTATACATAAAAGTAATCACCAAACAATGCGTGGAATGCGAAGAAAATGCAAATAAACAACAACAAATGAATGTATCTCCCGGCCTCCGGGTGATCGTCGGGCCCGTATTCAAGAATAACGCCCGTTTGATGAGATAGATCAAAAGGACCACTTAGTATAACAAGACATAAATTCGTCAGCTGAAACTGTAAGCGGAACAAAATATATAGGTGTCCTCGACATGGGACGCTAGCCGAGGTCATCCAACCTCATCTCATCTG